TGTAAACTATGACATCATAGAACGTCATTGCGGTTAGCTTTGGTATGCCATTGGTTTTATAGGGAGAACCCCGTTTCTCAGGGTTCCCAAGGGTTGAGAGACCCAAGATCTGAGATCCTGAAGCGGCATTGGGCGACTAAGAACCTGTGAAAATCTCATTCTTATCCCACATTCCTATAAAAAGTTATTCCAGTTTTTCTTGGTCCAAACTCAGTTGGGACATAGTATATATTATATCTTCTTATGTTAAGGTTCTGTTAGTATTCCTTCTATGACTCCTACATCAAGTTCCCCGTCAACTCCTTCATCTGATGATGGTTTGCATTATGTATTTTATTAATTATTATTTTTTTATATAGGTGATGATAATACCATCGCCATTGTGCTCTCTGTGGTTTTTGTTTCATTTATCATCATTATTATTGTTGTGGTTGTTTTTATACTTGCTGTGTATTATTGGAGAAAGAAGACAAAAGGTTATATAATTTTTAATGTAATTATTAGTAAATTTTAATTATCGAAGGTCATTTTGAAGTACCACAAGAGCCATTACCATTGCCTTCAGTACCACAGGAATCAGGAGTTCCTAGTGAATTAGGCAAATATGTTATTATTACTGCACCTATGCCAAGTAAAAATATGGGAGACAGTATAGCAATGCAACCAATGGTAATATTTAATAAGTTCATTTTCCTGCTTTTACTCATGGCCTTTTAATCTTTTTATAGCTTAAAGGTCCTAATAGTGATAATCATGAGGTAAGAATCATGACTTAATTGTATTTTATTTCAGTATTATTGTTTATAGGCTGCTGATAATAGCACTACATGCAGAACATTTTCAGGAACTGAAGTAAGTTTTGTTACAGCATGAATTTCATTATTTCCTTTGCCATTAGACAACTGTTGTCAAAACAGAAACTAACAAAGAACAGGGAGATATTGAGACTCCAATCTCATATGATACTATTGCTGAAGTTAGTACTACTATATGCTTGGTTATAGTGAAATTATGACAACCACTCATTACAACCATTAAAATTGTAAAATGTCATATTTATTTAATCTTCAAAACAATAGGAACAAAAAGAATCCATAGACACGGAAAAAACCATAACTACTGAAGCTAATGAAGGAGGAGCTACTAAAGAGCCAATATATACAGATTTAGCACCTTCAACTGGTACCAAATTATTACCAAAAACTGAAGTAGCATCAGTTGAATATGCTGACATTGAATCAGTGAGGCCTAAATCAAAAGTACCTCCAGTCCAGTCTTATGATGATGTGGTAGTATCTGCTAGTGGTACTACTGTAATTGGAGCTACTGGAGGAGATACTAACCCACCACCAATACCTGATAAGAAAAGTAATGGAGCTACTACTACTGGACAAGAAGGTACCAATGGTGGAACTGATGCTGCACAAGATTCATCTCATGCTCATGATCATCATGATACTGTTATTGATGAAACTCAAGCAAGAACACCTTCAGATATTACGATGGTAACTGGTAAAGAAAATTTGACTATTATTGTCAAGGCTCCAGTACAATTAACTAATCCTAGCCCTGGCAGTAGTAGTAAAAACTTTTTAATACCAAGACGTTCGTCAATACCAGAAAGATCTTTTCTCTCTACTGCTGCTGTTTCAACAGATTCCAAACCACCTGCTAAGAGCGAGGATAAAGAAAGTGAAATGCCTAATGTTTTATCAACTACAGTGAGTTAAATTTGTAATTTTTTAAAGTATTATAATTTTATAGGAGAAGAACAATGAAATGTGATATGTGAAATTTTGATGAATCAATTAAAATTATTATTTCAATGAATTAATACAATGTGTGTGCATTATATTTAATGATACTACAGTGTATTAATAAAAATATATCACCTGGTCATTGTGAACAAAATTTGGCCAAAGACCCTGTATTATGGGGTCAATCCTACTTAGTAATGCTACCATGTTACTAATATAGTACAGGGTATTTTGATTTTGCAGCAACTTTTAAAATTAAAAAAAAAATCAATTATGATCAGAATGAGCTCAAACTTAAAAAAACAGCATAAGAACATGTGAGAAAAATTATAAAATTAGAGAATTCTCTCCTAGGATTTTTGACAAAATGGCCTTTAAACAGATTTTCAAGCAACTTTTAAAATTGACAGAAATCCAATTTTGATCAGAATCAGCTTGAGCTTATTAACGTAATTGTAAGGAAATTAATATGGGCGTGGTAGATTTATTGATGGGCGTTACGTCTACGTTGCAATTGCCTTGTTATGCATTCTCGATCTCGTGCATTCTTCTATACCTTTTGACCCTTCGCTTAAATTTGCTGTCTGCAAGATCATGTTATCAACTGCTGTAGTGATTGTATTAACTTTAGCTTGGACAACAAGTAAGTATAATAAATGGCCACTTCTATGTTATTCTTCTAAATCTAGTTTTATCCTGCCCACCCTCTTCCAACATCACCGCAATACAAGACATTAAGCTATGTAATGGCAGCCTACTGTCCATCAAGTTTAACGTCTCAGACTCGTGTAATGATATTTTAGGAAAAGTCCATCCTTACATATATCAGTATATAAGTACTGGTGGAACTGAAAGAAGTCCTGTGTCGTGGAAATACTCTCAATACAGTGATGTACTCTGTGGCATTACTGCTAGATTGGGCAATCCACTGATAATCAATGTCAATGACTTTAATCCTACAAACCTCCTTCAAATAAGATTAAGAGAACTTGGTAGTAGCAGGGAAACTTGTTCAAATAATTTTTATGTGGTTCTGGACTATACTGGTAAGTAATAGAATATTTAAGTGTACATGGACATTCCATTAAGGGACACGTTCACGGAAATAGATGCACACGTCACTTTAGAGGAAGTAAACATTAATTTAAATTGGGCGTGCAACAGATTATTAATCAATAGTTATAACACTTGTAGAGAGTAGAGACAGAGCAATCAGGCGTAGAACCAGGAGTAGGCACCTGAAGAATGCTTCTTTCGACCAGCATTAGCTCTTTTGCCACCCCAAGACACTGTTTTTTAGTGAAGAACATTTACAATTAGCCACTCAAGTAGCCATTTTGTCTTAATTTTCACATTATGAATAGTTATCAAAACTAAACGTCATCATTAATGATGTTATCTTGAAAAACGGGCCACTTTTTCAAGATGACATGCTTCCGTGAAACGTGTCCCTTTAAGCCTATTATTCTAATTATGCTACCGGTATATTATACGTTGTGTAGGCGGATGTTTTTGTACAAAAGCTTCATATTTATAATAACAGTAATGATAATAATAATTAAATTAAAGATATTCTAATTATCAATTGCAATACCATTCAAGAATTTTTAATTTTGCATCAAGGTTCCAGCATTATGTTATTCTTTCTCATTAGGTTTTCTAGGGCCACCAGTCAACATTAACTCCAATAGTTACAATTGCTCTTTTATTAACATCATATGGTCTGATCCTGGCTACCAGTGTGGTATTGAGCCAGTATACTATAATCTCAGTATATATGACGCTATTACTGGCAGTCTAGTGGATACTGTAGCAGTATATGATACCAGTTATCAGTTTGTGGATAATAATTTATTTATTCATCGTTATACATATGTTATAACTGGAGTTAATGAATTAGGAGAAGGAATATCTAATAATGATACATTCTCATATCAAAGAGGTACATCATGCATCGTAATTATACAAAAAATATGAACAAGGTCTGAAAAAAAAACAAAATTTGAGCAAAATTTATTATTTTTATAGTTCCCAAATTAGCAGTAGAACACATTACATTGGAGATATCAAATTATACACAAGAGATGGCTATTGTACAATATCATGCATTAGTAAGAAATATCCCATTTCGAAAAATAATTAATAGATATTTTTAGGTTACATTGGAGTGTACTGGTGAAGCTCCTGGGAATATTAGAGTTGTTTTACAGTGTAATGGAACTGGTGTTGTATATGATATCATATATCTAGTGGAATATGCTAGACAACCAATAAATATAACTGGATCAGTACCAGTACTTCAGTATCAACAGTGTAATATCAGTATTGTATTCAGTAATGAGGCTGGTAGTAGTGAACCATTTATACTAGCATTTGGTGAGTTATTTAATGTTTTATAAAGTACTGATATTTAATTTCTATGAACAGATACAACTCTTTCTTCATACATTAATTCATCAGTTCCTGTAGTACCAACTTTAAGTAAGTTACTTGTAACTGGCTTTTAACTGATTTCTTGGTTGTCCAATAATTTTATTATATTTTACGTATATTAATTTTTGTAGGTAGTACATTAATAATAACTAATATGCTGTTTGGGGTTTTAGCTAGCTTAATAACACTTATTGCTGTGACTCTACTATTATTCATGATTTATTTGAAGAGAAGGAAGATAAAAAGTTATAAAAATTTTAATTGGTGCATTGTGCATTTTAATTATTATTGAAGGCCGTGGTGATTATAAAGTATCACAAGAGCAATCAACAAACCCTTCAGTACCACAAGAAGTTTCTAATGAATTAGTCAGACATGTTTTTAGTGCTGGACCTATGCCAAGTAAAGATATGAAGGACAATAATATAGCATTGCAACCAATGGTAATAATTTGTTGAGTTCTTTTTCTTATTTGTCTTTTAATCTTTTTATAGCCTAATAATTATGATCATGAGGTAAGAGTCATGACTTTTATTTTTATTTTAGTATTATTTAGGCTGCTGATAATAGCACTACATGCAGAACATTTTCAGAAACTGAAGTAGGTTTTGTTACAGCATGAATGTTATTATTTCCATTGTCATTAGACAACTTATATCAAAACGGAAACTAACAAAGAACAGGAAGATAATGAAACTCCAGTGTCATATGATATTATTGCTGAAGTTAGTACTACTATATGCATAAAATCACTGATTACAACCATTAAAATTGTAATATGTCAGTTTATTTAATCTTAAAAACAACAGGAACAAAAAGAATTTATGGACATGGAAGGATCCACAACTACTGGAACTATAGGAGGAACTGCTAAAGAGCCAAAATATTTAGATTTAGGAGTAGCACCTTCAACTAGTACTATATCTTTACAAAAAACTAAAGTAGCATCAGTCAATTGTGCTGACATTGAATCAGTGTGTCCTAAATCAAAAGTATCATATGATGATGTAAGACTACATGATGTGGTAGTATCTGCTAGTGGTACTACTGTAATTGGAGCTACTGGAGTAGATCCACCAGCAATACCTGATAAGAAAAATAATGGAGCTACTACTGAACAAGTAACCAATGGTGAAACTGATGCTGCACAAGATTCATCTCATGATCATGATCATCATGATACTGTTATTGATGAAGCACAAGCAAGAACACCTTCAGATATTACGATGGTAATTGGTATAGAAGATTTGACTATTATTGTCAAGGGTTCAGTGCAACAAACTAATCCTAGCACTGGCAGCAGTAGTAAAAACTTTTTGATACCAAGACGCTCGTCAATACCAGAAAGATCTTTGCTCTTTACTGCTGCTGTTCCAAAAGATTCCAAACCACCTGCTAAGAACGAGGATAAAGAAAGTGAAGCTGATGTGTCACCAACTACAATGTACTACTATTAAGTTATTTGTAATTCTTTAATAAATAATTATTTATGTATTATCATTTTTAGTGCTCTGAAGGAGAACAATGAATTGTGATGTGTGAGAGAAATTTTATTATTTGATAGTAACTGAAAGTTATTGTTATTCTATCAATTAATGCACATTCTATATGCACACATAGATATACATAGATATTGCAAAAAGTGTTGATATTGTTTTTAACTCTATTAAAAATATCCATACAACTATCATAGACAAAAATGTGATGTCATAGTTCATCTAATTAAAACAGCAACAATCCTCAAATACAGAAATACTACAAATACTACTGGAGGAGAAGCTACAATTGATTTACTACCACAAACTGAAACCATCAGTTGAACATGTTGACACTGTTGATAAAAATAATTATATCAATTTCAACTCAATCACAGTTTTATGAGGAGCAAATACAAGTTATCCCCTACCAGTATCTAAAGAAAGTAAAGAAGCTGCTACTACGTCACATTAAGAAGTCAATAGTGAAATGGAGAGCATTCTTGGTAAAAACTGATGCTTCAAGAATTTTATCACATCATTATTGTAACTGACATGGATAAAAAGAGAAAGTATTGAGCTGAAACTATAGTAAGCTTTCATGCAAACTAATGATGATCATAAGCAATTTCAACCATTTGAAATTCATTGCAAAATATTCCTCCAATCCTGTTTTCAACTCTTGATCAAGAATCCTCTGTCAATTAATATGATATTAGTACTGACGCTACCAAAATATATATTATGTTGGTCTTGTGGGACCCAGATGCTCATCACTATACCTGAAAGATTTAGGTACTCTATTGTGGTATCATAATGCTGTTATTGTTGTGTCCAATAATTTATTACTATTGTATTGTTAAACTGCAATTGTTGAGTTAAAAATTTAGGGGCCAGCTTAAGTTTAGACACAATGGCTAAGAACTGAGAGTATGAATTCTCTGAGTTACCAGTATGTCACTGTATGGTGTTTATTATTTTACATATGGAACTGAAGCGTAAATTTACTTGTCATTTCATCCAACCTGCATCTAGTTAAGTACATTTTCTGATACTAAAGTTTGAGGCTTTGAGCTGAATGTGGTTCTGAGTTCTAATTTTAAAGATACTGAAAAAGCATGGTTTTATTACTTTTGTGATGCTCTAATTATAAAAGCTTGAACCAAGTCAGATAGATTTTTTGAGTTATGATTGTCTGACAAAAGTACTATATGGCATTTCAAAAAATTAATTCTGAAAGTATATGTCACACAAATGAATAACTAGACAAGCTATAATCTGATACCCCAGTATACACACAACTCTAATTCAAGTCACTAAAAAGTGTTTTTAAATGATTAGATTACAAATTATTTACATGTTAACTGCTCCTCCTTACTTCTTCATAAGTAGGATTATTAGTATTATTAGTAGTATTATTAGTAGTAGTATTCATTAAACTGTGAAACTGATATGCTTCATTAGGTGAAGTAGGTACCTCTTGTTGTTGTATTGAGGCAGACCCTGTAATTAATAATCAATGATAAACAGTTATTGGTATGTTAATACTTACTGTTTAGCTTTCTTTTGTATAAAATGAAAGCTGTTGTCAGATATATTATCAATAATAATATAATAACGACACCTAATGATGTAGCTGTGATAACTATAATAACACATGGTGATCTATTATGCCTATATATATATATATATATATACTAACCAGTACTGACATTAAGAGTTGTTGCAACAGGTGTGGTGGTAGAAAATGTGTGTACAGTAGTAGTGGTAGTAGGAGGAGGATAAGTATCTGTTCATGTAAATACTTCAATATAAACACATAGGTACACACTTACCAAATGCTAGTATAAATGGTTCACTACTACCAACACTATTACTAAATACAATACTGATATTACATTGCTGGTTTAGTAGTACTGATACTGATCCTGTTATATTCATTGGTTGTTTAGTATATTCAATGATAAAAGAGCTACTATATAGCTCTATACTACTAGTGTCATTACAATGTACAGCAACTGCAACACTATTGGGGGCTTCACCAGTACACTCTAGTATTACCTAATAAGGAGAACTAATTATTACACTATAATAGCCCTTACTGGTATATTGAACCGTATAATACTAAATGTATTTTGTGTAAAAGTTTGTTCTATAGAAACAGTAATCTTACTGACTGATTTAGGAACTGTAAAGAAATGAAAATTAGATTTAATTATTGTTTATTGTACCTCTTTGATATGAGAATGTATCATCATTAGATATTCCTTCTCCTAATTCATTAACTCCAGTTATAACATATGTATAACGATGAATAAATAAATTATTATCCACAAACTGATAACTGGTACCATCTACTGCTACAGTAGTCACTAGACTACCAGTAATAGCATCATATATTCTTAGTATGTAATACAGTATAGATACTCTATCATCAACTGTAGGAGCAGTCCATGTTACATCAATAGTAGAACAGTTGTCAATTGAAGAATCAATGTTAGTAACTGGTCCAAGAAAACCTAATGTATAAAGTATAGAAATGAACATTTTGAGTAGTGAAATATTATTATTTACCAAATCCAAAAGAAGGTGTGGGTGGAAATTCTCCTCCATTATTACTCAGTGATACATTAACAATAAATGTATTTAAATTATTAGGTACAGTTATTACTCCAGTAATCATCAGTTGATCATTAACTTGTGTTGGTATACTGGTACTATTTTGTATCACATTAATAATATTTAGTATATTTACTGTTGTATTGTTAGGATATTCACCAAAGCATAACTCACTGACCTAGAGGGTATACACATCATAGAGTTTATTGTTTGAGAAGGAGTTTATAGACTGTAAAAGTATGTGTTTACTCACATTAATACTGATATTCAATGATATTAGTTGTTCATCAATTACTGGTACCACTGATACAGGAGGAGTAATGAGAGGAACTGAAAGATACACTGTGAACATATACATGAAGCCATAGTAGGACTAACCTGTTTCATAATAAAAACTGATATTATTAGATGAACCTATTCCAGCACCATTAATAGGAGAAACTGATACATTATTTAATATACAAGGATCAGGATTAGTAGCTAATAATATAATACTCTTGTTAGTAGTAGTAATGCTCACTAATCCATTGACTATATAGTATCCAGTGATAGGTACATTATCCAGTGTATAAGGAGCTGTCCATGTTAATAATACACTGGATCCATTAATAAAGGTATAATCCAGATCAACAACACTATCCAATAGACCTAAAGAAGTGACTAATGACACAATTAAACTGATACATTACTATACCTTGTATTGTTAGTGTAGCATTGATACTTCTAATGTCACCAGGAATTGCAACACAATATATGATACTATTATTATTTATTTCTCTTGCATGAACTGATAGTTGTCTTCTTCTTATAGTTCCATTAATAGTTACTTGACCTGATTCAGTAAATCCTCTGTTTATATTGGTATCTTCAGATGCTGGTGTTTCTCCAACATAAAAGAATAGTAACGAAACTCCAGTTGCTTCACAAGTAAAGGTCACAGTTGAATTGAGACTTGTATTCACTGATACTGGCTGAGTTATATATTCAGCTTGACATAATCTTATTAGGAATCCAAAAATAAGGGTAAAGAGCATCTCAAGTAAGCAACAACACAAACTATTCATTCTTAGGGCGTGGTAAGACCATTACGAATGACAAGGGGCGCCGCGCCCAAATAGTCGCACAAAAGAGATGTTCGAGGTGTTGCTGCGGTCATGTTCCTCTTTTCTGTGTTTTTTGTTCTATCTTGTCATTCTTTATTCATTCTGTACCAAGGCAGGTATGCTATAATCTCGTAAAACCACCGAACATATTGCTTTAACCCTACATTAGAGAGTAGACGCTGAGGTTAGTGCCAATGTGCTGGCATTATGCTTTAGCTGCCTGCTGCCTGGTCTGCTTTAGCTAAGCATACTGGCTTAACAAGCATTTTGCTTGTTATTTATGTTGCAATTTATTTAGAAATTTTTATGGTGGGTGTGTTTAGCATTATGGGACTTGAGGGTAACGAAACTCGAAAAATCATATATTAGCATAGTCATAAAAAGTACTACATAGCAAAGAAGCTATTCATTTTGTTTCTCGAGCTCAGAATAAAGCAGAGAAGTGGCCTTGTCATTACTGTAGATCGAACCTTATTTTAAATTTTCATATACCCTTTTATTCTAATAATCCTTTTAATTTTATGTGATATTGACAACTAGCATTTCCTGCTGGGAACAGCGGTTTCCAATCCCTCAAAAATTAACTTATCTCAACCCCTCCACACACATGCATGGTAGGTAAACGCCATAAAAATGGGCATGGCCAATATCATAGCTCATTTCACACGCCCTTATTTGGGCTACAGAGGTACGCAAATAGAATTTTAGCCGTAAATTGAAGATTTAAACAATTTAAAACAAATATTAACTTACAATAACCTATCAGAACCTTGAAGCCGCCATTATAACTTTGCAGTAGATTTTTCATAAAGCTAAATACATTTTTAAAAGAGAAAAGAGCAACTTCATACTCCAGACATTGGCAGTCGCCATCTTGAAAATCATAACAGAGACTGCAAAAAGTTTTTATACACAAATCATGCGCTCACGTGATCCCGTTGCCAATCCCGGTTACGTTAGTCTATTATATCCCTGATACGCCCAAACATGGGGTTGCATAACATTGCAAGGTTTTTCTTGCTTTTATGTATTTACATACTTTCTTCATTAAAAATAAGGTCTCGTGTGAGCCGCTGGGCAATTTGACTCTAATTCTTTTATTTGTAGAATATATAACCCAACCAATGTCAGTGAATACAAGTCTTAACTCAACTGTGACCTTTACTTGTGAAGCAACTGGAGTTTCATTGATATCCTTTTATGTTGGGCAAATGCCAGCAGCTGAAGATGTCAATATAGATCATGGATTTGATGAAAGAGGTCAAGTAACTATTAATGGAACTATAAGAAGAAGACAACTATCAGTTCATGCAAGAGAAATTAATAATAATAGCATCATATACTGCTTTGCTTCTCCTGGTGACATTAGAAGTGACAATGCTACACTAACAATACAAGGTATAGTAATGTATCAGTTTAATTGTGTCATTAGTCACTTCTTTAGGTCTATTGGATAGTGTTGTTGATCTGAGTTATACCTTTATTAATGGATCCAGTGTATTATTAACATGGACAGCTCCTTATACACTGGATAATGTACCTATCACTGGATACTATATAGTCAATGGATTAGTGAACATTACTACTACTAACAAGAGTATTATATTATCAGCTACTAATCCTGATCCTTGTATATTAAATAATGTATCAGTTTCTCCTATTAATGATGTTGGAATAGGTTCATCTAAAGATATCAGTTTTTATTATGAAACAGGTTAGCATTACTATGGCTTCATGTATATGTTCACAGTGTATCTTTCAGTTCCTCTCATTATTCCTAATGTATCAGTGGTACCAGTAATTGATGGACAACTAATATCATTGGATATCAGTATTGATGTAAGTATATTCACCATAAGCCCATCACACAATGAGTAAACTAACAGGAAATGCATACATAGCAAATGATTATTGTTAACATAACTTCAGTTCACCTTATTCCCACACACACACTCACTCATAGGTCAGTGAGCAATGTGAAGGAGAGTATCCTAATAATATAACAGTTAATATACTGAATACTGATAATGCAGTAATAAACAATACCAGTATACCAACACAAGTTAATGATCAACTGATGATTACTGGAGTAATAACTGTACCTAATAATTTAAATACATTTATTGTTAATGTATCACTGAGTAATAATGGAGGAGAATATCTACCTACACCTTCTTATGGATTTGGTAATATACTGTACCAATGTACAGTATATTTTTACTTCCATCATTGTTAGGTAAAGTTGGACCAGTTACTAACATTGACTCTTCAATTGACAACTGTTCTACTATTGATATAACATGGACTGCTCCTACAGATGATAATAGAATATTTATACTGCATTACATACTAAGAATATATGATGCTATTACTGGTAGTCTAGTGAATACTGTAGTAGTAGATAGTACCACTTATCAGTTTGTGGATAATAATTTATTTATTCATCGTTATACATATGTTATAACTGGGGTTAATGAATTAGGAGAAGGAACACCTAATAATGATATATTCTCATATCAAAGAGGTACAATAAACAATAATTACTGAATAAATGATTTTATGTTTATTTAGTACCAAGAACAGTGACGGAAGCTGCTTCAGATATACTTGAGATAACATTTAATGAGACTAGTACTAATGCTTCCTTTAATATACCAGTAATGTCATCTTATTTACATAGTATACTTATGATTTTGATAACAGGTTACATTGGAGTGTACTGGTGAAGCTCCTGAGAATGTTACAGTTACTATACACTGCAATGGAACTGGTGTTGTTGTATATGATGATACTACAGAAGTGGAGAAAGCTAATCAACCAATGAATATAACAGGATCAGTACCAGTACTACTAAACCAACAGTGTAACATCAGTATTATATTTAGTAATGAGGCTGGTAGTAGTGAACCATTTATACTAGCATTTAGTAAATAGCTGTTCAGTAATGCATATACATGTATTTATGTGTTGTTTTCTAGACACTACTCACACTATTCCTACAATCAACCCTACATCATCACCTACTGGTGCTGAAGAAACAACTACTTTATCTCCTGATCCAATATTATTCACACCAGGTTTACCATTACACATAAACTGCACTAACTTATTCATTTATTGTATTCATAGAAATTATTGGAGCTATTGTTGGCATTGCTGTGCTGCTGATAATACTGATAATAGTGATAGTGGTGGTGGTTAAATGTTATAAGAAGGCTAATGATGATGATGTAAAAAAGAAAAATCAGGAAATATATTCTGATGAAAATAATGTAAGTAATAATTACACACTCATTGTTTAGCTAAATATATTCTATGAGCTGTTTGATTAAGAATTCAATTTGAAATCAGTTAGCTACACATTATGTTAAAATAATTATACTTATACATGTAGGGAATTGCACTTGAGACTGTTAACATCAACAAAAATGAATCAGAAGTAAATACTGAGGTACGTATAAACTCATTTGTCTTTAATTTGTTAAATAATTAATATAAACATGTCTGATACAGTAATATTTTGTTGATTATGTATAAAGGTATATGTTAGATCTCATTACTAAGATTCATAGTTGAAATATAACATGCTCATATGGGTTAATTAATACACCCTCCACCTCGGATACTTTGATTTAATATCACCCCCAGGCTTTGGCCCTCAGGTGATATCAATTCAAAGTATCCGAGGTGGAGAGTTAGCCCATATATCATTGTAATATATAATACACATTTAATATATAGCATATTGAAACTAATATTGGCAACTCACTTCAAATAACTCAAGTAAGTTTTGTCACAGTATGTGTTTCATTATTTCATTTGTCATTAGACAACTGTTGTTGAACTTCATGCTAAAGATGATGATACTTCAATGCCATATGATACTGCTCCTGTTGAAGCTAGTGCTGATACACCTGAAGGTAGTGAAATGATAGCAACACAAGTGAATAAAAATAAGGTGACCCATAAAGTTGTGAAATTTAATGATTTATTTTATTTTAGAAACAACCAAGACCATCCACAAACAAAAAAGAAACTACTACTACTGAAGCTATTGGAGGAGGAGCTACTAAAGAGCCGATATATTCAGAATTAGGAGCAGCACCTGCAGCTGGTACTAGATCTTTTGCAAAAACTGAAGCATCATCAGTTGAATATGCTGATATTGATAAAATTGTACCAAAATCTAAAGCCACTACTCAACCACAGTCTTATGATGATGTGGTAGTATCTGCTAGTGGTACTACTGTAATTGGAGCTACTGGAGGGGATCCACCACCAATACCTGATAAGAAAAGTAAAGGAGCTACTACTACTGGACAAGAAGGTACCAATGGGGAAAATGATGCTGCAAGGAATTTACCACATCATGTTACTGATGGTAAATGATTACAAATTATTTAATATAATTTATTCCATCTTTGTAGATTCACATTTTCCCTCTCCTCCTCCTCCCCATCCTCCTCCTCCTCCAGGGAGTGGGGAAGGAGGAGTCCAACCTGGTTCTGCTGCTGCAGATCAAGCCACTGGAACTGGTTTAGTATCCTACTTGTAGTGACACAAACTTATTATTGGAATTTCAATATAATTTTTTAAGCATAATTTTTAGATATTAATATTGAATACTGACGTGTTAATGCACATCTATATGAACATTTTCCCACACACAACAATAGTAGTGCATGCGGGCAGAGTACCGTATAGTGGGTATATTCTTTCAGAGTTTAATTTCGCTCTCATTCCTTGTAGAACAAATATTTTCCAAACAAAAAAGGCATTTCCTCAATGCCACGTGTATAAAATGGCTGCTCAGAATGGAAATAAAACAAACGAAAGTTTCTAATCTTGCTTAGAACGAACATTTTTCCAGACAAAATATACCTGCTATACGGTAAGAGTTATATTTGACAATGTATAACACATTGAATACTAGTTTAATACACATATGTACAAGTACAGTATGTAGCTATATCATTGTGCTTTGTAATAACAAAGCTATGAATATTTTATAGCAAAAGCTGCAACCCATGATGGACTTCACAAAAATGACAGTATAAAACTGATACTGTCAATCTTATCATTCCAAGCCTTATTACTAAATAGAATACTGATATTACATCCAATTTTTGAATGGGATCATACCAATGATCCCTACATTATATTTAATTTTTGATATACTTCACTTAGTATGCATAAAATCCATCACAGCCACATAGGTGTATGTAAATATAGTGAAGAGAAATATTTTGTATTTTTAGTTTCTTTTAGGGTCTTGAGAAAGGTCAATGTCCTTTTGCACTGTCCTTTTGTCCTCAGTTGACAAAGCAGCTTGAATCAGTTGCTTGCTTGTACATGTATTATAATTATGAAACTTCTTTATAGTGCACTGAAGGAGAAGAATAGTTTTTAGGAATGATAAAATTATCCATGAATTCATTCTATATATGCACCACACACAACTATGTCATCATTATTTTTATAAGAGTCAGCCCCGCCCACAACAGCACACATCGATGCATCTCAGAGGGATGGAGGACAATCACAAAATCTTGTTCATTGCTACTCTGACTGCTATTTTATTTTCTGGGCAGAGTGAGTTATTCAGAACCATAGACCTAGATCTAATTTCATTCTTGCTTCAGGCCAAGACTATTGTGAGCAGTCTGAACGCGTAGAAGACATTCCTGACTTGGAGAGTTGCATCGGTGTCGGGACGTTCATCTCAGTCATTTACAGGCCACCTTCAGGAGCATCTAATTGTGGCTCTATCGATGATGATTATCACATCTTAATATATCATCATGACTTTGACAGGTCAATTGCTATCGAAAAGCATCCTCCTCCAGAAAGATATAATGATACTGCATGTCTTGTTCACCTTACCCTGAGCCCTGATATCTTTGTGAAAGAAAATAATGATACTCTTTTGCAAGTGTGGATGAAGCTGGTCACAATGTCAGCAGATACTTATTGTTCCAACAATTTTACTTTACTAGTAGACACTGGTAGGTCATTGTATTACAAAGAGATTATTCTATTTACCACATATATAATTACATTACATTAATGTATGTACTAGCCAATAACCATTACTCTAAGTTTACTACTATCTTATTTAGTGCATAATATTGCACTCAATTTACTATTGCATTTACATGTATATCCACAGATCCCCCAGATCCAGTTAACCCCCAGATACATGTTGGTTGCAACAGTGTTGATGTTGAGTGGCCTCCCCCTTTCTCTCCTCCTGGTTGTCCTGTCCGGCAATATGACATTGAACTCAATGATGAATATTTTAACATAACAAATACGTCATTATTGCATCATTCATGGCCTGACCTTTCACCTAATATGCTCAATACACTCAATATTAGTGCTGTGAATGACATTGGACCCAGTATCCAATCTAATAATACATTTATAACTGCTCTGAGTAAGTGATGTAATGGTTGTTGTTACTATTATAAACTGTCTGTTACTATATTTAGATCCTCAAGTTATGTTTTTGGATTATGATGTACTCTTAAATGATAGTAATGCCTTGTTTACTATAAAAGCTAAGGTATTTCCTTTTACATGTACCTGTAATTAATTCTTTCACATTGCATAGGTGAATAATAACTGTATATACTCTGTACCTACTCATTTCTACTACAATGCATCATGTGATGCTAATACTACTGTCAATGAAACATGGGATGTTTCAAATGAACAAACTTCTTATCAGCTGCCAGTTCCTATTGATCGTCTTAATTGTACTGCATGTCTCATCTGGTCTAACCTCAACTCATCACTTACTCGCTGCAATATAACATTTAGTAAGTATGATATTCAAGTGTACAGTATAGTGCAATATTCATATACACAGCATGATTTGTTGTGATTATTCATCATTACCTGACCCACACAAAGTTATAATTGTTTGAATTTTGACTTATACAATTCATTAGCATAATTTATTAGTATGTGTTTTTTTATAGATACAACACAGCTGCTTTTCATCAACTTGCAACCGATCAATAATGGTTTGAATTTCACATGCCATTACAGGCCTAATTCTTCACTTTGGGATTGTGGCGTTTCAGTAAACAATTCCTTAAATGATACTAGAAGTGCATTAACATTTAATGAAACTATTGGCACTATTACTAATCTTTGTCCTGGCAAGTATGATGTAGCTATGTTTTATGTAAAGGATGGAATGGATTATGTGATAGAGTATGTCACAGTGAATATTAGTGGCACCTCCTGTGGTACCCCTACTCCAAGTGGTGAGTTTATAATAAGCACTTTACTGACTGATTTAGTAATTTTTAATGTAGGAACTGATGATGACAATAATAAAAATAATTTACTAAAAAGTGATTCTTATTTTAATTTATTTTAAAATCCTTTTTGTAGTTTTGCTTCCATCACTGATTATAGGAGTAGCTGCTATATTAACGATAATAATAATAGCAATAGTGTGTGTAGTACTTTACAAACGTAGGACTAAAACTGGTACTTATCAAATGAGTAAAGGCGAGACTGGTGACAAAGAAGGTATGTCAAATTATATCAAAATTTTGTTGATCATTATTTTTATAGAAGCTAAATCACAAACAATCGGAGAATTAGAAAGTAATCATATTCTGATTAATTGTATTGTATTGCACACCATTCTTCAGGAGGTGACCCCAGCCATCAATCATCATTAGGCAAGTATTAGTAATAATATATGCATGACTTATTTTATTCATTATTTAGAAATGAAACACAATGACAAAGGAAAAGGCCAAGAACACTCTGATCCCCTTACTGCTATACCCCAGCAGAAAGTACTACAGGAAAAGCTGAAGGCATCGGTGGACCTCCAGCTAAAGGAGACACCCCACTTAGCAAAGGGGCATGGCAAAACTACCCAGAATTCTGAAACTTCTTTTATCAATAAGGATTCACTTGCTAATTCAAAGGATGAAAAAGGTATTTATATTAAAACGTGATCATTATGCATGTACTAGTGTTATATGGGAAGAGGTAACGCTTTATTTCAAATTATTTAGAAAAGGAAACTACACAAGAACCTTCTACTAGTGTTGAAGATAAAGAAGGTATTTATAATAAACATGAACATTATTATAAATAAATTTTAGCGAGTATGAATGAAGGACAAAGTGATGTTTCAAGAGAAGTCACTGTCAATTGTAATGAATTAAACTAGTAACTGCTTTACTTCATCATTAAGTAGATATTGAACATAAAAGTGATGGCGGCAATGAAGCAAAAGAAGCAGGTTCTACAAGTAGTTCTATGGAAGGTAAGGTCATTCATTATAATACATTTTAATACTCATTTATCAATCAATCCATATGAAAAAAAGTTGTCACAATCAGCATAATTTTTTTTACTTTTTTTGTATTTAGGATCCAATTATGTTGATTCAAGTCAGAAAGGCAGAGTGGTGAACAAAGATATTGGTGGTGATAATGTTGATGATGAAGCTGTGGACATGTATGTAACTGAAGGACACCAGGCAACTAATAAACAAGAAACTGCTGATATGGATGGGGTTTGTTATTACACCTTATGTTATTTTATTATTCTTTATACAAACACACATGACAGTTTGTACCTAGCAAGTCTACAGATAAGAAAAGGTATATTTTATGATTATTGCAAATTTGCAATAAACATTGTATTCTTTTACAGTATAAAACGATCAAAGTCATCTGATTCATTAAAGGTACTTCATTTGTTACAAATTTATTTTCATTATTGTCTATCCACTTAGTCCGCTACTGCAAAAGCATTCAGAAGATTATCTTCAAAAATGTACATATTATACTTGATGTGTATTATTGTGTGTATTTTAATAGAGAACTAGAAACAGAAGAAACGAAAAAACTTTTGTCAACTATTACAGATTCTGATGCTGCACATGTGAGTTGATGTAGCCTATATGTATGTGTATTAAATTGTTGATATTATAATGTAGCAAGATCTAGAGGTTCCGGCAAGTAATGATGATACTAGAAGTCAATTTGTACCAAAATAAAATTATTTATTCAAAAAATAATTTCTATCTATATTATACAGTATTTTTTGTATAATAACGACAATTAATTAATTTTTAATTAATTATTACACACATTGTTTTTAGTCAATCTGAAACTATCACAAGTTAGAAGCTCCTAGACTTGCTGGTCCTATGTGTATTTCTCCATAAGCAACATTATCCTTAGTTGGTATACGGGATAGCTGATGTGCTTCATTAGGTGTAGTAGTTAATGGTACCTTTCCCTGCTCTAATGAGGCAGACCCTTTAATAGCCAATTAATGACAAACATTGGTATACTTACTCTTGTATCTACAGGCACAACTAACTGCTATTATGAGACATATTATGAGACTTATAATAACAACAACACTCAGTGATGATATTACTGCAATAGCTATGATAACACATGTATACATAATATATGTCTTAAATATTTGTAATACTAACCAGTACTGGTATTAGAATGTGTTGAAACAGGTGTGGTAGTAGGGGAAGTTTCTGTAGTACATGCACATGTAGTGGTGACATTAGGAGGATATGCATCTGTTAATTTAATAATATTTGTAATATGTAAATTGTAAACACATGCTAAACTAACCAAATTCTAATGAAAATCCTTCACTACTACCAACACTATTACTAAATACAATATTGATGGTACACTCTTGATACTGAGGGACTGGCAATAAGTCTGTAAAGTCATTTTTAGGTTCTATTAAGAAAGTTATACTGCTATTAGTCCTGTTACATGTTACAGTAACTGTAACATGTTCAGGAGCTTCACCAGTACACTCCAGTATAACCTATAGATTAATAATAATAATAATAATGAAAGTATTAACAATTTACTGGAATATTGAGTTCAGCAATAACCATATTTTGTGTATAAGATAGTACGTCAAGTGATGTGTTTGCTTTAGTTGACCTGGGAACTACAGCAGTGTAATATACACACCATGAATTATAATTATATGTACCATAGTTACTGTAAGATCAAAGGGACCGCCAGGTGGTACATAGGCCATGTACACCTAACCGCTGCCAGTTAACGATATTCACTGCAAGATAATAAGATTCATTGGAGTATGTACATCTGTAATGAGATTCATTGGGTGAGTTTATCTGCAATAAGATGCACGAGCGATCTGCGCATGCTCAGTATCTAGCACGTGGCTGAAAATGGCAGCATAGTAGTAGGTTAGACCCAGCCGTTCGCCACTGTATTGACGAAAATAAAGCTCGTGCAGAGATAAATGCTACAGAGAAGTTCCAAGAAGGCCTTTATTGTTCTGTCAAGAAGTAAAAGAGAGGGATAGAGTTTGATCTCTCAGCAAACGAGCAAAACGCGCATCCGTCCATGGTAGATCCCATAGATCTTACAGTAAATATAGCACATATTATATGAACCATGGTTCCTCGGTGAGTATCAGTAATGTAAGACCTTCGCCCCTCGATGTCTGCCCTCGGCTTCGCCTCGGGTAGACATCTCGGGGCTCAGGTCTTACATTACTGATACACACCTCGAAACCATGGTTTATATAGTACATGTACCTCTTTGATATGAGAATTATCATTATTAGATATTCCTTCT